GCCAGCATCAGGTTCGAAGAGACCGGGGTCGCCCGCAAGATTCAGCGGCTGCTCGCCGCGGCGTTCTCGGCCATGAATAGCCAGCTCAGTGCCGCTGGAGATTCGCAATCCCAGGGGGTGCTGGGGCGAGGCCTTCAGATACCCTGCCGCTTGCTGGACAACGCTGGCAGGCTCTCCCCGCGCGAGCGCATCGTGTCAGACAAACCGTTCTCCGAGAGGATCGCCATCGTGAAGGCCGCCCAGACCTCCATCCAGCAGCTGAGGTTCAACCGGTCCATGTCTAGGGCGCCGCTGGGTCGGCCAGGGGCAGGCGGCGCCCGGCGCGCCGCCGACGCGCGCCAGACTGGCAATCAGGTGTGCTGCTGGAGGGGCAACCGCAAGCCCGAGATAATATCGAGTCTTTCAGCGGCACTGCCCCGGCGTCATCATTGGCATAGGGGCGCAGCCAACGTCCGGGTCAGCCACCGCTCCGCGACCGCGATGGTCGACCGTGGACACCAACGACGCTCCGCGGCATCGGAGCTCGTGCCGTGGAGCCAGATGCTGAACGCCCTGAACGGCGACCTGCCGCCAGGCCAGTCCCCTGGCGGTCAGCCAGGAGGCCGGCCACCGCCGCGGCACCCCCGCAGGATAGTGAGGACATGTTCTCAGTCCTCGCTAGCGCTTCTCCGCAGAAGCGACCACGCGCGGCGGAAGTACCTTCAGCGTCTCAGGCGCTGCCGGCACCGCCTCAGCAGCGAGCCCTGCCTGCGCGCCATTTCGGCAACGTCGAAGCGCGCGCCGCCCCAATCGCCGCGCGCATGCATTCGCCGACTGGTCGGCGCGCAAGCAAGGCGATTCCGACTTCGCTACCAGTGGAGGGGGAAGTGGCAGCGCATCGGCGACAGCGCCTTCGGGAGGAGACGCGGCGGGGCCAGCGCCGGCCCGCCGCGATTCAGGCGTCGCCGCCGCTCCCGAATCAGCCCCCGCAGTTTCCGGTGCAGCTGCGCCGCCAGAGAGCCCGCGCCCCATGGCCTGGTCGACGACCATCGGGGCGGCCAGTCCGACAGCTCGGGGTCGCATGTGATCCAGGAGTGGGCCATGGCCGCCGATGAGCAAGCGCGCCAAGAAGCGACCGCTCGGCGCCCAAAGGGCCCGATAATCAGCGCGGAGCGAAGACTCAGCGTCAGCGACGCCAGGAAAGCGCCCCACATGCGCTTCGACGATATTAACAAGAGGAGTTCGACCGGCGCGAGCAGGCCGTCAAGCGCAAGGGGCTCTTGGACGACCTGCCCAAGTGCTTCGAGAGGACGAGGGGCGCCGGCAAGGTCGACCCCTGCCTGGGCAACTATTTCCAGAGCCGCGCGGGCGAGCTCCACCCCGCCATCCGCCCCGCGAGATCTTGGCTCGCGGGAAGCCGAGTCCGCGAGGAGCTGGCGCACAGTAGCCTCGGCGCCAAGGAGAAGAAGAACGCGGGCGCCGCCGCGAAAACCGAGCTGCCCAAGTGGGCGGAGTTTGGCGCGCATAAGACGCTCCCCGCTAAGGAGTTGAATGAGCTCCTGCGGCGCATGGCGCCCGCCCAGCGGGCGCGCGCGGGGGGCTGACTGGGAAGGCCGGGGGCACCATGAAGGCCCGACTCGTCGCCCAGGGCTGCCAGGAGGACATGTCGCAGATCAGGACTGACGCGCCTGCGGGGTCGAGGGGCGCCTTGCGCCTCGCCCTGGCCTCCGCAGCTCAGAAGGGCTTGGACCTCGCGCCCTTCGGCGTGATGACGGCCTACCTCCGTTCGGGGGGCATCGAGAGGCTGCTGCTCCTACGCGCGCCGGCCACCAGGGGCGCAGCCTGGCGAGATCGCGACGGCCACTGGCACGATCTATGGGGCGCGCGACGCGGGCTGACAACGGCACCTTTGCGCCCAGAAGGCTTTCGCCGATTATTGTTCGTCGAGAGCAAGCTCTATGAGGGCCTTTATTATTTCTGCGACCGCGAGGAGCTTGCAGCCGCGATGCGCTCGCATTGCACGCGGGCGATGTCCTCGTCACCTACCGCGGCAACTCCAACGCCTGGTCACCCAGATTCACGATCGCATCGCTGGAGAAGAAGCTGCACCTCAAGGAGGTCGAAGGGTCATCAAGTACTGTGGACGTACCATAACCCAGATCGACGACGAGCTCGGAGTGACCCGGGCCGCCGCCGCCTCGCAGGTGGATTTCACTGACCTCAGGGCCCAGCGTGGCCGAGGTGCTGAGGATCGCCCCACCTCGTCCGGGGTGTCGTCGAACTGCCGAGACACACTCGGGCAGCTGCTGTGGTTAGCAGTCCAGACTCGATTAGACATCGCCGCCCATGTGAATTCCGCAGCTCAATGCGCGAACGTTGCCGCCGTGGCCGACGCCGAGGCCTTGAACGAGACCGTCGCCAACGTTGATTCCACCGCGAACTTTGCCATCGTGCCGGGGCGGGACCTCGCCGACCTGAAGACGCGCAATACCGCGTGCTTCATCGACGCTGCGTTCGCCAACGTGGACGGGGTCGAGACCCAGTGGGGCATTGTGATGGTTTCGCGCGTCGCCCTCGCGAAGTTGCTGGGGGCCGCTACGGGCCGCGTCTTCCCGCGGCCTGGCGTTCTGTCGCGATGGAGGGCGGGGAAGTCGACCCGCGCTGCCGATGGCTGCGCGACCCTCGAGGGCGCGGGGACCAGCGCGCGTTTCCGCCAGACTCACCGAGGCTCACAGCCCCGAGAAGCAGTTCAAGCATATGGAAAATCGCAGCGTCAAGCGCCCCTGGGAGATCTACAGCGACAGCCGGGGCCTCGTGACGCACATTCAGTCGACGTGGGAGAGCCCACCGACCAGTGGTTCATGACCAAGGAGACCGCACATTCCAACAGCGCTCTTCGGCTTATTTGGATATCTACATGGGGCATCGCGCCAGTGCCTTGACCGCGCGATGGAGGCTGGCGTGCTTACGTCGCTCTTCGGAGCCTGTAGGCGCACCAATGTGGCGCCCGGCAGTCGCGCGCCGCCATGCTCGCCTTAGTCCCTTTCGCGTGCCGTGGCAGGATCAAGGGGCAGCCGACGCCATCGCCGCCGCCGCCCGTGGAGTTCACCTTCTACTGGTATATGTGCTATATGACTTGGTGTGCCTTTTTTTCCTAGGCGTGGCGATTTGGCTCAGTATTTTTAACAGCACGCGGTCGGCCATGAATCCCACTTACACCACCAGCTGGCGAAGCAAAGGCTTCAGGAAGTGGATGTAAACATCGAGGCTGAGAAGGACTCCGGCTCGGCAGACGCAACAACGAGCCAAAGCAACCGACCATTCACGAGGATGACGACCAAGATGGCGATATATTGATATGCCGGCCGCCGAAGATGTCAGCAGCTGTGTTCAGGCATCCAACGCATCGGCAGCCAGCGCCGCTTTTTTTTTCAACGCCAGGATAGCTGACAACGGCATCCACATCAGGAAACGGAAGACGAGCACCGAATTCGCCGAGTACGTTTTCATCGAGTGCGAGATCATCAAGTACGAGTCTCGAGTGTGGTATCGTGGAAGGGATCCACGCCCGCTGTGGCGCCGCTCGAGATGCTCCTGCGCGGCTGCGCACCACGAGATCTGGGCTGGCGAAACGTGTAGGAAGCAGGAATGGCAGGACGTGCGGGACCAGAGTGTCTACGTTATTTGCAGGACGTGCAGGAAGCATGCTTCGTGGCTGCGTCGCAACTACAGAGTCCATGACCCTGGTCTGCTCGCAGATGCATCCGGCTCTGAGGTGGGATTTGAGCAGCCGTTGGAGGCAGCTCACCGGCAGTGACCCTGCGCCAAGAGGGAGCAAGACCAAGACGGCCACGTGAATGAGTCAGTCCGCAGTTTTTTTTGATATCTGTGTTCTGCAGCTGCTTTACGTCAGTCCGCACTGCCAGAGATTACACCCAGCTAGAGATTGGCACGTGAGTCCTCATCGCCTGAGATTCTACACCCGGCCGAGGATATATACGTAATTCCGCAGACTTAGAAGCTTCAATCAGTGTGTGTGTTTTATGTGGTGATGACGAGCATCTCCCTGCTTTGTTCTTGCTCTTTATCACTTAGTGATCAAATGCCCAAGCCAAACGCCCTTTGCCTAGCAGAGGGATCGTTCTTTTGAAAGCAGGCTTGTGCAGCTCATCCAGTAATACCTCAGGAGCTTCCTGCTGCATGCCGTGTCAGGCCGCTTGCCTGCCTAAAGGAAAGTGCCGAGCCTGGCATTCCCACTGCCGCCGAATTATCTCGACAATTCGATCAGCTTCAACGAAGCGAGTGTCAATCTAGATCCCCGACGCTTTCGGCCGTTGCTAACGCGTCAAGAGTTGCGCAGGAGGGGTCAGATAAGTAACAGTTCCTTCGCTCCTTCCGCCCGTCATCCGCCTCTTTCCCGCGCGCTCGTATATGTTGTTGCGGTTGCCCGCCCATATCCCGCTGCCATACTGGTACACATGTTGGGCTCTCCAGTCTTACAGCTACGCACTTGTTCGAACCGCGCTCACAGCGATAAAGATCATCGGCGACGCCGTGTGCCATCCATATCACAGTTCCCCCCCACCACCATTTATTTATCGTTCCTCCATTTCGGGTGTTCCTCAATATGCTCCTGACCCACGGTGCCCCCATTTGTCCGCTCCATGTTGGAGCCCCTGGTGCCCTCTGGGCCTCAAGGGTTGCTATGGAGGCCGTGGGGGCCTCTTTGAAAATCCTGGGGGCACGTTGGGCCAGGGGCATGTCTAACAACACCCAATCCCATGCGAGAGACGCAGACAAAAAAAACGGGGTCGTCTTCGCCAACTTCCGCGCGTAAGCTGGCCGCGCAAGGTCGCGCGTAAGCCGCCTCGCTTCCAGTGTAGCGTGCCACGCTGACGGCCTGCGTCAGCCGCCGCGTGAGATCGCTGTGCAGTCTCGCGCAAGACCCGCTCCTTCACGTTGCTAATCTATCGTTCCCCAATCCACTAGATGCCCGAAGCAGAACCTCTGTGGCCCACCAGGATGTCGGGGAAGCCCGCCGGCCTCGAGGGCGGGCCGGGGCTCTACTGCCTCGTGAAGGGCTCGCCGGAGGCCCTGGGCCCGTTGCTGGCGGAGGAGCGCCGCCCCGCCTCCACCGCCTCCACCCCTCGAGCCTGGAGCTTCGATCCTCGATCACCGAAGTTCGGAGCTTGCTCCTCGAGCGTCGATCCTCGAGCGTCGTTCCTCGAGCCTCGAGCCTCGATCGCCGATCCTCGATCGTCGATCCTCGAAGCTCGAGCCTCGATCCTCGATCCTCGATCGTCGAAGCTCGAAGCTCGATCCTCGATCGTCGATCCTCGATCATCGATCCTCGACCGTCGCAGCTCGAAGCTCGATCCTCGATCGTCGGATCTCCTTCCCCGAACAGCGTGCGCTGTCCTTCAGCCGCTGGTGCAGCCGCCACCATCGCTGGCAGGCCAGCTGTCAGGAGGGGAAGACACACACACAGACACAGAGAGTCGCCGATCCCCTGGAAAAAAATGGGATAGATGGGAAATGGGGGGAAGACGAAAGTCCAGAACATATGCGAAGTTTTGAGGAATCCTGGGATCTGTGTTTCTCTATTTGTGTGTCCCTGGGCCCCTTCAAACTGCCGCCACCGCCACGACCGCCGTCCCAGGCATGCTCGCGTCGCGAACACACAACGCGACGGGAGGTGTTGCGCCACGCCTTCGGCCCATGGGGTCCCTCGGGCGCCGGGGCCCAGGAGGACCGTCGACAAAGCAGCCCGCGACCGGGGAACTGGCCCCGGGGCAGGGGTCGGGATTTCCGGGGACCTCGTCTTGGTCGGCTACACGCAAGAGGGGCCCTTCGCCGGAACGACCTGTGGTGCGGGCTCATCGGGGTCCCCTCGATCGTGGAACGCCATGCGACAGCGGCTGCCTGCGCGCCTGTCTTTGGCCACCTGGCGCCCCCTTCGCTAGCGCGTCAAAGGTCACTCTTGCCCAGGGCCACTCTTGCGTGTACTTCAGATTTCGTCATAAAGGGAGGGTGGTCTCATTTCGGGGGGGGTCTCTTCCAGGCTATCTTGGAGGGCCTGGGGGGTCTGGGGACGATGTTTTGGAGGGTTCTCCCACGGGGGAGGTCTGAAATGGCCTGTCTTGGAGGGTCCAGACCCCCTCCCTTTTATTACGAAATCTGGAGTAGCCGACCTGGACACATGCAGATATCGCATGTCTTGGGTCGTTGCCGTTGGGGCTGCGCATATTGTCGGTGTCGCTGGGCACGCAGCCATGGTGGCGCCGCCATCGTGGGCGCATTGCTCTCGTTGCGCATCCCGGCCTTCCGCGAAAGCGGGGCCCCCTTGGATTCGCCTCCTGCTCGCACGATCCTCTAGTCGGCGAGACGTGAGCCTGGCTGACCGTGCTGCTTCGGAGGAAGGATCGCTTCTTGATGCCCCATTCCATGTGTGCACTGCTGGGGTGTGTTCCTGGCCGGATGTTGGTCGTTGGCCGTCTCGTGCTGGAAGGTCCGTCTGCCGAGATGGCCAGTGTTGCCGTGAGCTCGGAGACGGTCTCCTGTCGAGGTGGCCACGGTCTCCGATCGGAAAGAGGTCCTGCCCGTGGAGAGCCGTCGAAATCCGGGGGCCCGTTCGAGGTTTCCCGTGGGGCTGCTGCGCTAACGTTTCCTCGAGCTACCCCCTTACCCCCTTCCCCTGGGTGGGCGATGCGAGTCGAGCGCCGATGCCGCTCCTCAAGCGCGCGCGCGCGTGCAGAGCGCCTCCGAGGGTCGGCGGCGGGGCCGTAGCCCCTCTAGAAGTCGACAGTCCCCAGCCATTTTTGGCGGTCCGTGTGGGCGTCGCGATCCCAATGGCAAGCTGTGTAAGTCCGTGTGTCTAGGCTGCCATTGAAACGTTCTGGGTTTTGCCCTGGGAGGCGAGGAGTGGGGCAGAGGGTGAGCGTTGAGGACGGATGGCTGCCCAGGACTCTGGAGAGCCAGAGTAGGTGGTGTTCATAATTTCTTTCGGTTTCGAGGTGGTCGTGGACACTGTGGCCAGGTGCGTGTGGACCATCAGGATATGTCAATGACCACGCTCAAGGCATTCCATTCCATCGTCGTGTCCCTGTTTAAATGTGGAGGTTTCGGTTTGGTTTTTCGTTCATCAGTGTCCGGATTGTCGAGGAACACATAATTACACAAACGTGAACATTCGGAGGTCCGCGCGGAATCCTTGGATCGGCGCTGTATACCCCTCCCTGGCGCGCGGAGCGCGCCAGGGGCGGCGCCAGAGGCGCCGCCAGGGGGATCCAGCGCCGAGCCGAGAAGTCCGCGCAGACCTGCGGACCTTTACGTTTTGTGTCACTATGTGTTCCCTAAGAATGTCGGGTATAGCCAGGACCCCAGTTAGTGGGAGCTGGTTATTGATTGGGCCCCGAAGCCCAAAACTTAGGCCAGAATCTGTAAGTTTGCCGTAGTTGGTGTTCTTCGGGTGATGTCAATTCGGGTTGGTGGAATGGGGCGGATGGGGGGCGTCCCCCGGCACACATCACTAAACCAGGTCCCGCTAAACCCAGTCCTGCCAGCGCCCGAGATTGGCCCTGCTCCAGAGTTCTCAGACCTTCGCCGTCCTCGTGGCCCGCGCGAGTGTGCCCACGCGCTACCCCTTGCAGGGCGCCATGCCCGCGTGGTTCGAGGGGTGCTACGTCGAGCTTGCCGAGAGAGGGCTGCGAGTGCCTCCGTTCGGCTGGGCCGGGTCTGCTGCCCATCTTGTCGCTGTCAACTGCTGTGCTGTGCGGCCAGGAACCTTCGCTCAGCGTGTCGCTCCGCCGGTTCTGGCCCACCACGCTTCGGCGCGACACGCTGTCCACGTCCCCGCTCCCCAGCGTCGACGTCCCGAGCGAGCTGTTTCCAGCATCCCGCCCTGCGGAGCGGAGCGACACGCTTGCCGATTGCAGGGGCATTGCGTGTCGCTGGGGCCGCCGCCGCGACACACTATGCAAAAGTTCGTGACCGGAGGACCTTGGTAGCGGTCAGTGCACATTCATGTGCTCGGTTTCGTTGATTTGTCGTCTGGCGGTTTCGCTTCCCAGCACTGGAAACGGCAGGGCCGTTTTTTTTCCACCTTTTCCGAACATGTCTCTAGAACATGGGAACCGTGAAAACACGGTAACGGGAAACGGCTAAACAACGGCGACGGAACCGGCAAAACATCGGCGACGGAACCAGAAAAAACACGGAGCTGGAACAGGCAAACAACAAGACAAAACGGAGCCGGTAAAGGCCTTGTCGTTACCAGGGCCCACTAAGATGATTGGGCTTACGCCACACCGCCGACCCCTTGGGGAACTGGCGGTTGTTGCGTGTCGCTCCTGAAGGCCTCTTGTGTGCCTTTTGGGTGCTTCTTGGAGCTCTTTTGGGGCTTCATGGGGCCTTTTCGGAGCCCCTTGGGCTGACATTCTCAGTAGTCGCCGTGCACGCATGGGGAATGGGGCGAGAACCGGCATATACAGACGGAGGGCATCTGTCAACACAGCCGATCAATGATTATCGAAGACGCCTACGGCGAATCACCGCCGCTCCTGGTCCGTCTGACGCCGTCGGAAGCAGTTTGGGGGGCCTCTATGGGCCGACGTGGGGCCGTCTTGGAGGCCATCTTGGGCGTCTTAAAAGCCTCCTGTGCCGTCTTGGGGGCCTCTTGGGCCCGTCTTGGAGCCGTTCTGGAGCCATCTTGGAGGCCTCTTGGGCGATCTTTCGGCGATCTTTGGGGGCTCTTGGGCCGTCTCGGGCCGTCGGAAGGCCGAAAAGAAGGAAATGTCAAAATTCTTCGAACACCTGCGTAAAATCACGGTTTTAGTCCTTTTCTGGCCTTCCTGGAGGCCCTCTTGGGGGCCTCTTGGGCCGTCTTGGGCCAGCTTCGAGGCAACTTCGGCCATCTTGGTGGGTTCCTGGCACGTCTGACGCCGTCGGGAGCCGTTTAACTCCGAGGCCCCTGGACTCCGAGGTGGTCGGCCCTGAGGCCTATGACAGGCAGCGCTACGCGGCGGATCGTATCCTACCTCTTTTGGAAGAGCGTGGCACGGTTGCGGTCAACAGGTACATCTGGCACGACCCGGCCTTCTACGGTTCAAAGACAGCTCGCGTATCGACTTCGCTTTCACGCCTAAGACGTCGCTAGGGGATCTCACGTCTGCTGGGCTTTTCCGCAGGGTCGGACGCGACCTCCAGGTCGTCGCCGCTCGTGAGCCACGTGACGACGTCCCTGTACATGCGCGCCTCAAATCTTCGATGTTGCACACCACGGGCTCCCACATTCATATCGACATGCATGACGCGCAGCGCCTGGGCGACGTACCTCGACGGACCCATTGGCACAGAGAGGCGCTCACGCAGCCACTCCGCAATGGACAAGGGCGCGCTGCTTTCCTTAGCGAGTTCGAATTGCATATATCGGAGCATGCAGCAGAGCGGGAGCATATACTGCGTGAAGAACAGACTCCGAACGCGAATGGGTTTTCTCACCAACGCACTACTTACCATTGGAGAGAAGCATATTTCTCGCGCGCATGAGTATCGGCCTGGCCACTGCTCACTGGCAGCCACCATGCGGTTGCTCTTGGGCCAACAAAGGGCACTTCGACGCCATCTGGGCGCACGTTCCCACTTTGAGGGCCGTTTCCTCGACGGTCTCGATCTGCCAGCTTGGACAGCATTGCTCCAAGAAGTGCAGTGGCAATTGCGCTGCCGCATCAGGCGGCGAAGGTCGGCCAGGCGCCAGTGCCGGAAACAATGGGGGATCGACGCAGTGGACGAATTCAACGAGGCGCGCCGCCAAGGGCGACGCGCAGAGGTTGCGATAATATTGCGGCTGCTTGTCGGGATCGGTGTCGGCCCGCGCGAGCGGGACTATCGCCGAGAAGGCGTTGCGCTACCAATTGGGGGAGGGTTTGCAGAGCGCCGGGCCCTACCTGCTGGACGCGGTGGCACGGCCGCCGCCAACGTCGACTGGGTCGCCAGAGCCGAGAACTACATCTATGACGACGTCACAGGGCAGGGGGCGCAGCATTTTTTTGCGCCCTGGACGGAGGAGGGGTTGGTGTGGGCAACGCATCGCATAACGGAGATGCGTATTTGGTTTCGCCGAGCTCCCGAGCGCCGAGATTGTCCGCCCTGGTCAGCGCTGCTGGAGATGCGGTGGATGAGTCTGCGCCCGCATCGACGGAATATATTACGGCGTTGGCTACGAGACCCCGACCATCCATCTCGAGCACGCGCGGTGACTCTTTTTGATATTCATGCATCGGCTGCGACGTTATGGCCAGGTCCCTCTGCTCTGGCACCTCAGCCAGGGTGTTGCGCAGAGCTGGAAGAGAGTTGTTCGTCTGCTCGATCCATTCGGTAAAGGGTTTATGGCAGCGGCGATTGACCAGGTCGAGCAGCAAGGCGGGCCACTCTTCGCGCGTACCTGCGCCCCGCAGCGACGGAGGGTAACGGCTATGCTCGGACGGCAGCTACGCGCGCGGCAGCTGCACAACCTCGACATCGACGCATCACCAACATGAGGGATATCACCTACGCCTGTGCCTCCACAGACTTGGCGCAGCTTGGAGGCCGCGCGCGAGAGCACCATGAATTCGAGGGCCACGTTGCCTTCGGCCGCCATCGCTTAAGGTTCGCTGCTGTCACGTTCGGCGACCTGCGCGCGCGCCCCAGCGTTGGCGCCCGGATCGTTCGAGGCCGTCCAGGAGCAACCCCGTCATTTCGGGCCGAGGTCGGCCTCCTGGTGCCCGCTGCAACTGAATTCGAGGATATGGATGTCGTCCTCCTGGGGATGGGTTCTCATTCCTACGTCGACGACGCAATTCGCAGGATAGTGGCGGACGAAGCAACGACTTCGGAGCTGCCTGGATGGCCGCGGGCATGCGGCCCTTTGCTGTCCGCGGAGCTGCGCCGCCGCGGCGACGCCGTCAACCCGACGAGGAACGCTCGCCACTTCAATTTCGTGGGAACTGGATTGCGCGCGCGTCGTCGCGAGGCGACCGGGAAAAGATGCAGTTGTCAGGAGTTTCCGCAGATGCCTTTCGCCACCCCGGGGGCCAGGTCATTGGCAATTGTTCTTCTCGGGGTGAGCTGGCAACGAGAGCGGCCGCAAAATTCGGGATTCCACCCCGTTGGCAAGCGCTGTTGGCATTCTTGGCGCATCGCCGACGTTGAGCGGCGATCCGTTTTTCTGTGGCGCGGGCCACGGGCCCAGCGCGCTCCGCTCGCGAAGCCGTCCTGCCGGCCACTGGCCAGGTGGATCAGCTCGCTGCCAAGGTCGTGTTCTTCGGCCGCAAGGCCATGAGGGGCGCGGCTGCGTCTCGGGGAGAGCCTCGCGCCCACTCGGTTCCAACGGGGGAAGCCCCGAGGCGTTGGAAGATCTCCCCGATCGAGGTCGAGCGCCGAGTCGGGCGGTTGCGCCAGCGCCAGAAGAGGGCCTTGGGCCCCCAGCGAAGCACGCGGGTGCGTGCCCCCCCCCTCGTCGGCGACAATCGAATCGAGTTGCAATGTGGGCGCCGTTCATTGACTGCCCGGGGCCCCCCAGCGCCGACGGCCAACCCCTGGTCGCCCCGCTGCGCTTCCTGGAGGAGGGGGAGTTGCGGGACTGGTTGACTGAGCTGGGCCCCGCGGTCGCCAGGGCCGCGCGGCTCTCCGTTCGCGCGCCCCCGCTCGGGCACGACTGGCCGCCCGTAGTGCCAGCGGCGGGACTTCTGGGCGAGCATCTTGGGCCGCGTGCTGAAGGATGTTATTGCAACGTCGACGGCCGCTTTAAATGGTTCCTCTCCAAACGCCAATGGCTTTTTTTCACCTCCGCGCGGCTTGAAGGCCCTCTTGGCTGAGGCTATGCTTTGGGCTTCGTGCTTTGTATTTGGCAGCAGTTTCCAGAGTCGCGATTCCGTCTGCAAGATCTTAGACCCCATCGCCCCGGGCTTCTGCAAGGTTCAGCCACGCGCTGCCCTCGAACGCCAGGGGGTGGAGGGTGCCTCTGATTGTCGCCGGTTCGAGGCTCAAACCCAGTCTGCGGCCGAGTTTCGCATCCACGCGCGTTCGCACTTCGAAGCTTTTCCATTCGCGCCGCGGGGTGGAACCGAGCTGGGCCGTCGGACAGCGCCGGGGCGCCGCGGAGAGCAGCGACGAGAGGGGGCCCGCCAAGAAGGCCAGGCCCCAGGCGCAGCTCGGCCAGGAGGCGAAGGGTCACAAAAAGGGAGGCAATGGCGGGGCGCCAGCGGCTCTGCCGGCGGCGCTCGCCAGGCTGGCGCTCGCAAGCGCGAGAGCTGGCATGGGTGACTGGCGCACTCTACGCGCGCTTCACGGCGGGGGCCGCCGTTCCCCTCGCGCCCGCGCCGCAGGAGTCGGGGCGCACTCGCGCGGAGAACTGCGAGGCGGACGGCAAGGACCACATGCGTGGATCGCCGTGGCCTCGCGTCTTCAAGGCCTTCATCAGGCGGGCCTGCGCGGGCGGGGCGGGCGCTGCGCGGCAGGGGGCCAGGTATCTGGACCATTGGAAGGAGGGCATCCTCACGCCGACGGCCTTGGAGGTTCTGGCCGCGCACTGCCGCCACTTCCGCGTCGAAGCCTGCTGGCTCGACAAGAAGACCACCCGCCCCGACGGGTTCAGGTTCCAGATCATGCTCGGCGCGCAGCGGCAGGCCAACAAGTGGGGAGGTTTCAACGCGATGCGGATGGAGCCCAT